TCCTGGGAGATTTTGGAACGCACTTAAGAAACAAGCATCAGGGAAGGAGGGCAGGGGGCTCTCGTAGCTCTGCGGCCCCTCAAATGCAGACATTACTGCAAAAGCGATTTCCTTGTTTTTCACCCTCGTGTTTTTCCCTTCATCCTGGAGAGCCGTTTGCTTAGTTTATTGAAATCATCTTTCCTGAAAGTGCTGAAATTTAATACTAAAACATACCGTGCTTTTGAAGTTTCTCAAATGCTAATGGTTCTCTTTTCTACGTGTGTCGGGATAGGGCAAAAAAGGCTTTGTGGTTTTTTTTTCCCTCTTTTCTTTATAACTTTTTTTTCTTTCTGGTAGGGAGAGGTGCCTGGGACAAGAAGATGAAAGGAGAAAGCAGAGGGAATTGGATTCTTGTAGGTACAGCTGTTCCCAGCTGTAAGAATCAGGGCAGAAATAAATGTATAGTGTCAGGAGAGACTAAATAAACTAGTAATATTCTTGTGGACTCGTAGCCACTTCTTCTACACTGCTGTGTGTTTGTTACAGTGCTATTTGTAACTTATCTTTTGAAAATACCGGTTCTTTTCAATAAATCATCCACTTCCCCAGAAAAGATTCTCACACTGTTTGTTTCATGAATTTCCTTGGTAAGTCTGCCTTCTCTCTTCCCATAGGCTTTATTTAAGCCTTCTTTTGTTTCTGTTAAAGGTTGGCCTGCTGTCTGAGAACTTGTGGGTTTACAGGAGAGGATCAGAATAGCTGCCCTGTGTGTTCCTGCTTTGTGTCTTGGGTTTTAGTGATGATTCAAGTTTCAGTTTTTCCCTTCTACATGCCACTGGAATATTGAAGTGCCTGGCCTGCAAAGTCAAAGCAAATCAAAGCAGTGGTGTGGTCTTTGTAGAAATGAGTTTCTGAGCTTTGTTTCTGAAGGGAAGTCTCTGGTCAGCGTTGCCTGTTTGGCTCTTGTAATACCTTCAGGTTGGTGTCTTGGGCTGCCTACTGGTTTCCCCTCTGTATTTCCACGTGTGAAGGGGAAAGTACTCAGACTGTACATAAAGTGATGTTGGAAAGTCTGTGACCTTCAGCTGTTTGATGCAAGCAAGTTTAGAAGCTGATGGCTTCAGAGATGCTTTCAAAAGTCACTGAAGGAAGCACACGGAAAAGCAGTGGCCTGATACCCATTTGGGTTTGTCCTTGTGGAAGTTTGAAATTACCAGTTTGATAGGATCAATAACAAGGCAGATTTTGCATGTATTAAAACAAATACCCTTCATAACCTCCCCACCCCCAGCAAGAGCTGTGTATGTAGGGAGAAGGGAGGAAGAAGATTACTCACTGCATTCGGATGAACAGATGTTATTCTTAACAAAAGAAGTGGATGTAGACATGTTATACTTGTATGCTGTATCTAGATAGGTATCTGATTTATAGGCGTAATGTATTTCTTTTAACCTGACCTAGCACAGCCTCACTTGCTCGTGGGTGTTTGTGAGAGGAGCTTCAAGGTTAGTGTTTCCCATGTTGTAGACCAAATAAATGTGGAATTTCGAAGTGACAGATTACCTACAGCTGCCATTCTTCCCGTGCTCTTACCATGGGAGAGTGAACAAATACTGTATGATAAACCCTGTGTTCAGCTACTAGACGTGTTTGCTTCTGGGCTGAGCATTTTAATAGAAGTGGTTTATGGCATGTCTTTAAAAATTGATTTCACTATTACGTCTACCTACTGGCCTAAGTGTTCCAGGATCTGCCAGGAGTAATTATAGACAGTTGGTTCAGATGTTGCTTAAATGTGTAAGCCTTGATGGGAAACACAGTGGATTTCAGCCAAAATGCTAATTTTGATGTTTTGTCATTTTGTAAAGCTATGGACTCAGAACAAATTATTTTTATACTGATCTACTGATACATAATTGCACAGCTAGGGCCAAGTTTGTCCTTGATGGAGCACTGAACACTAGCAGTGTGAAAAGTTACCGTATCAGCACTAACCTACTAATTTGATAGCTACAGTAGCATAATAACTTCATTTACCCAGGTGAGCTTATGTACCTGCATTGAAGCTCGCGATATCAAGGCTTATTTGCTCCAGAATGCATTTTAAAGCTAGAGCATGTATGGCTACAGGAGCTGTCCTTGCCTTTTGAACCATCTTTTACTCCAACTTGTATTTTATAACTTAGGCGATATTTTCTTCGTTTGTTTTAACATAGAATAAAAAAAAACCCTGCAACAACACAGAAGTCACAACACAGGAGCCTGGCACTTTTACAACCAGTGAACTGGTGCTGTTCTACCTGCTCAGTGTGGGTTAGGATAGAGTGGTGGACATGAATAAGAAAGGTCGTCTTCCTTAGCATTACATTAATAAGTGGATGGATCCAACCATTTGGGTATGTCAGTCATTTTGGAGCCTGTTGCCTCCTTTCAGCTAGTCTGAAGCTGTTACTGCTACAATCTCTACAATAGCCAGATTGTGCTTTTTTTCCCCTTCACAGTCAATGTAAGCAAGAACATCTTCTTCCAGAGCTTCTAGCATTCTGCAGTGTCATTTGGGAGATGCCTGATTGCCAGATCATTAGAACAGCCTTCAGGGATGCATGCAGCTGCAGTGTGAAGGAGAGAGTGATCTACATAGGTTGGTGTGCATGTGTTGTATGATTGTAGTTTTCAGGTTGTGGAGAAGAAAGGGTGCAGCTCTATACCCTCCTAATTCCTTCGGTTTTTCAGCGTGAGAATTGTGTCTTGGCATGGGCTGATGAACGTTTCCTCTGTTTGACAAATTGCAGGTTATGGCAAGCATTCAAATCCTGCAGCTTGAGAGTGCACCTGTGATGTTCACAAGTATCAGGAGTCTAATCATGAACTGCTAATTCGGGAGTTTTGCCACTTCAGTGGATGCAGGATCTGACCCTGCTTTGGAAGTGATGCCCTGTCCAGGCAGGGCTAAGATAGCCCCATGAGAGTTGGAGCCGCTGGATTTCCCTAATAGCTCATGCCTTCGCTCCTCATCTCTAATTTACGTGTTCTTGTGGTTCTTTGCTTGGCCTTCCTTTTTCCTGAGAGCTCCCGGCTGCAGCTGCTTCCTGCTGTTCCAGCAGTTAGACAAGCAGCAGAGCAGAGAGTTGAACTGACAGCTTTTGTAAGGCGTAGCTGCAAGCTGGGGAAGAAACAGAGCAGTCCTATCGCTGTCAAGTACCAAAATCTTGAAGTGGGAGAACTAGTCAGTGTTTGTTCTACCTGCCTGTGGCTGGGGACTGGGAGCATCCTGCAGCATTGTCTCTGGTGGTTGCAATGGAGGGCCTCTCAGGGTGCACTGCAGCTATGGGAGCCCTGAGCGTCCTTCCAGAGAAGACCAAGGGGAGCAGCAGCCGTTAGTCTTCTGCAGGCTGGATTCCTCTGTGCAAATGCTCCTTGAAGGCCAATGCATAGGGAATTGCCCATAGTTTGAAGTCCTTGACCTTTAATAGACACCTCTGTGCTCCTGAGCACCACCTGGTGCAGCCACATGCCTCTCTTGAACCAGAGTTCAGCATGCTATTGCTCTTATTTCGTCAGTGGCAATATGGACTGTATCTTCTAGTGTGAGCTCAAGAGTGGAACTGCAAGGGCAGAGTCGCTTCTGTGATAGTGCAAATCTGGAGTAGAGCAGACTCTACAGAAAAACAGCGCTGTTGAGCATCTATGAATTTGATATTTGCTGACACTGGCCATGTTGACGTCTTCCTGCTGTTCTTTGGAGATCTCTAAGTAGGCATAGAAACTGAAAATAAATGAGTTCTGGATCTCATTTATTGGAATAATTTGCTTAGTCATTTTCTACTGCATGCTACTTTCTTGTTTCAAGTGACTTAGCTTGGAGTGGTCTGTTAAGTTGCAGCAGGATGAACCGGGGCGTGATGTGCTTTTTGTCAGGGTACGTGAAGGTGGTTTGGCTTGAAAGGATTTAAAATACAAAAGATAGAATTAAAGGGCAGAAGGTAGTGATGAAGTAATGGTTTTGTCTTGGACACGGAGAGGGGAAAAAAAAAAAAAAGATATGGAGAGACATTAGAGAAGATTAGTACATAGTGAATAATTTATAGAGTGGAAAAAAGCAGATACTAGAAAGTAGTAGAATATTTCCAGACCTGTGGTAGGATTTATTGAGATGATGTTACAGCACTGGGGGCAGGGCAAGTAGGAAAGCTTTGGAGGAGCAATCTGAGTGTTATGGGACTGGGTGTTGGAGGCTGGTCCTGCTACCAAAGCGAGAGCATTCCACTATGTTCAGCTGCTTCCCCTTGTTCTAGGATGTGAAAAGGCTCTGCAGAGTTTAGTAGGGATAGATGACGGAGATTATTTGGTTTATAGTGAAGAAGGCAGTGATTAACATACTAGTTCAGCATGCTTTTATTTACTCCACTTTTGTTATCCTCAAATTTTGAAATCTCAGAGATCTTCTTTGTGTGTGCCTGGTTTGGGGAAGAGAAAGGGAGGTGAGGTGTGCTCTTCTCCTTGTTTTCGTTTTGTTTGCTGTTAAAAAGCAGAAAAATAAGTGCTTGTTGATAGCTGTAGCACGGTCCCTTGGGCAGGGAAGGGTATAATTCTGTATTAATACTGGCCTTCAGCATTTCCATCTGCTCTTACTTTCCCACAGAAATGTACCTTTGTCTCTTCCCATCCACGCAGCAGTTAAAGATCCTGGAAAAGGAACATTCAAACAGTGGTTGCCACTCTTCTACCACCAGCTCTGGTAGCTTACTGGAACCCTAGAAAGGCAACAGTGTTGCATTTCGTATGTAATATCGAAAATGCTTCTTTCATTTTATCATCTTTCTACAACTGACAAACACCTTTTATTTAACATATTTAGATCTTTTCACACTAAGATTATGAAGCCTAACTTGAGCCTGTTAATCTTTTTCCTAGTAACCCACAGAAAAGCACAGCTGCACTACTAAAAACATACTGTTTACCCATGATCTCTGCATCCAGGCAGCCTGCAGCGTTCCAAAGATCAAAGTTTAAAGGAGACGTGCCAGTCCTTCACAATTCCTTTTATTTCATCTCATGAAACCACGTAAGCCACACTTGCAGCTGATAAATACTTCTACTGAGCTTCAGCCTGTGTGTGTTTGTGTGCAGCCCTCTGGTCCTGTAGCTTTAACAGAAAGGTACGTCCTGCAGGTTGATAACCATGAAATAAGGTAGGGTGAATGGAATTTAGTAGTTGTAATGAACAGTCATGTGGTTACTTAGCACTTGTTGTTTATATTAATTTAAAAAGGCTGTTAAGGGTTTTCTCTCTTTAAAAAAAAGAACAAAACAAAACAAAAAAAAACCCACCAAAAACTAAACTAATATTGTTGCAAGTTACAGTTCTACCCCACTTTCTTTTTTCCTTGCCTATGTGGGAAAACTAGCACATTTGTGTAAAGATAAACTGGGAAGTCAAGTGGTTTCCAGCATGTACATTTTGGTTAATATTTATAGAGACTAGTATTTAATGGGCCATATAAATATTTATCATATGCTGTAGCTCTTTGATCATAAACACTTGTTTGAAAAGGCGTTCTGTCCCTGCTGTGATTTGCAAAGAAAGAGACCATTGCTTTTTCAGTGTTAGGAGGGAGATTTGGCTTGTCCTGCGTTAGCAGTTTTAGTCATGGACTGTAACATAGTAAAGTTGCGAATGTCTTTTTAAATTTGCTATTTTTTTCTCCTCGTTCTGTTTGCAAGCTCAAATAATAACTTGCACATATGAGGCCCCAGTCTGCAGCAGACCAACAAAACTGGATTGAAGTTCTGGGGGCCTTTTTTTCTTGGCCGCAGGAGTTTGCCTGCTATGTCCTACAGCTCACTACTCTGCTGCATTGCATCACGTAGTTTGTTGTGTTTTTAGGAATATTGTGCTCAAGGAGTTGACCTGTGACTGTTCACCTGCAGGACTTTGTCTTCAGCTGTTTTTCTGGTTCTTTGTTTTTATTATATTGACTGCAGAAACTGTAGGCAAAGGTTCCAATAGATGCAAAATGCAACATGGAGTTTTAGTGCAAAACAAAATTTCATTTGCACATGGCAATAAATGTTGGTGTCCAGATTCCAAAACAGGACGTTTGTGCTGGAGACAGAAGAGCTGGAAAGAGCTTCTTCCAGCTCACAGGTCCATTTCTTCATTTGTAATTTGGAGTCTCCTCCTGTACAGAAGGAATATTGAGAATAAGAACATTCATCTTCAAATTCTAAACGAAGTACTTTGGCTAAATATTTTCAGCCAGCCTTATTACTGAGTTCGGAGGTCCTCAAGAAGCACCTCTAGGCAGACTCCCTTGTTGGTGACACTTATGAGCTGGAGATGACAGTGCTTCTTGTGGAATGTGAGTGGCATTCCAGAAAAGCCCTTGGCATCCACTGATGTTTTTGCAAGCAGATCAGATCCTTTTTTAGAGAAGCCATACTTTGAACAGCATTGGCTGTTTGCTGCACTTGAGAAAAGATTAACCTTTAGCCTTTTTCTGCAAGATAGCAAAATATTTCTTTGTAATGCTAGGTGATTTTTGCTTAGAGAAATACGATTTTAAATAGGTCTGTTGTATTCACTGTTCAGGTCTGTCACACTTGGTTTCTTGCTCACGTCCATCAATTTACAGAAATAAAATAAGGGATATTTATAAACTGATAGATGCTGCTTGAGCATGCAGACAAGCTTGGCGTCCTGCACGATCACTCACATGTGTGCATCCTGGTTGCTTAGTAAGGAAAAAAGAGTAAATATTACATGGGCTGATTGGATTCCAGATCTCAAATGTTTGTGGGAAGAATTCAATGCAAAGCTATAATTATAAGTGCTGAGTAGGAGGTACTATGAGCTTAATTCTCTAACATCTGGTAAATTTGTTCTCTAACCAGCAGAATACATTAATAAAATCAGTGCTGCCATACAGGGAGGGGAAGTAGTTGGGAGTAAAGCTGCGTGTGAGAAGGCAGGATACAAAGTGAAGTACTCCTTTTGCTGTTTGTGAAAAGCAAGAAAGATTTGCCTACGTTTAAAAAAATAAAATCAGCTTTGCAACTTGTGGCTTACTCTCTTCTTGTGAGTCAGCAGCCAAAGGCAGTGCCAAACTAGGGGAGAACTGGGAAATGCACGAGATAGCAGCAGGGATAGTTTCATGCAATTTCCTCCTTACTGTAAACCTTCTAGCAGGTAGATAGCAGCACCTGCAGCCAGGCTTTTTCTGCTCTAAAAAGTGATCATCATCTGTTGATAAGAATGTTTTAAAGCTCCTTTTGCAGCCGAGGGCTAGGAGGAAGATGCAGAGTGCTGTGAGTATCCCAGCTGACAGATGCAGTGTTAATCACCAATCGCAGGAGAATTGTCCTCTTTTTGTCGGAGGCATTAGCTTTTGTCAACCAGACCAGGTCATAGAGCCAGGGCCAAGCAAATAAAGTGAGCTTTCTTGCCAATATCCCTAGGTGTTAGCCTCATGGCACACCATTATTTTTAGCTGATTGCTCATCTCGTGAGCAGATGACCCTGCTTAGCAAGATTACTGTGTATTGCACCTAATTTACCACACAGAATCAGGATGCTGAAGGAGAGTGGCTAGGGTTTCTACCAATACCGCAGTGTACCCTGTAGCTTTGATATCTATATTTTCTAAATCTATTTTTTTGTTGGTTTTTCTTTTTTTTTTTTAAAGCTGATGATGTGTACAATTTGCCCTAGTAACCCTTCCTTTGTGCACGCAGAATGCTGCGTGATAGCTGCTTTGGGTACAAACATTACTTCTGAAATGGAGTGCAATTGACTTGGCTGTATGATCAGCTGTTACTGTCTGAAGATAGAAAGAAGTCTAAGAGTTCTGGGTACCAATGCTTTTTCTATTGTGTTTTGCATATACTAAGCCAGTAAATTTAGTTATTGCCAAAAAAATCACACATAGGCTTAATTTGAAATGTGACCAACCTTATTGTTCTGCTAAGCAGAACTTTCAGAATTTTTTCCCCTTCTCCCATGTCCTTCCCCCCTAAACAACCAGTCTTTTATAAACAGATGTCATCCAGGTCGCTTGCTTGGGATAACTGGGCTGATTTCAGGTACAGCTGTTTTGTTGCTCTGTAAATGACCCAATGATAATTGATATTTTCCTTTTCTCCAAGCACCAGCTCAGTTCTGTATGCTTCTGAGTTTTGGTAGGAGATTCATGCAAGCACTGATGTGGTGCTTGTGTGACCTATCGAATGCTTTGTATCAGCTCTTAATTAACATTTCCCAGATTGATTAAATGTTAATGTTAACTATTAATTAAGGACAAGCTTAGAAATTAAGTGCAGTGCATTTATCACTATATAAAAATGTCATTTATTTAAATGTGGTACAGTGAAGTAAGCAATTCATTGTGAATAATTAAATCAATCGATTTAGGCTCACTTTGTTCTTTTAGGTTGCCAGTAAGCAGGCACACATTTCCTGGGGTGTTCTCATAACTTAATGAAGTAATTTCAGCAAATTATTTTCTAAGTCTTTAAAATCATGTGAATTCCTAGTGGATAGCTCTTAGAAACCTGAGCAGTTTATTTTTCAGTTGGTTTTTTTTCTTTCCTTTGCAAGGCTCAAAGTTGGTTAAGATGTGCCGGATTGTCACTTAGCTATTTGAATTCTCAGCATCACACCACTTTCTGAGGGGAGGAGGGAACAGTTTTCAGACTCTGCAGAATTCAGCCTGACTCGCTGTCTGGTCCAGCAGTGATTTGCCACTCCTTGGCTTGTTGGCTACATGGGAGGCATTGGCTCCTGCCTCCTCATCTTGCTTCAGTTCAGAGCTCAGTGAAGCCAGGCACACAACCCCTTTCACTGCTTCAGGAGCCTAATTTGTTTGCATCAATGCATTGACATGGCTGAGGTGTTACTTCCTGTCTTTTTCACAAGTGAATCCAATTTACTGCTTGTTAGCAGCTTTCCCATCTGCCAGAATTCAGGAAAACCCAGGAGCATCTGGGTTGAACATGTAAGGTATCAGCTCCCAGTTACTGCTGAGTTTGCATCCAGACCTTTTCATTTGCTCCCTGTCTCCTTCCTTCTTTTTTCCTTTATACAGATATGATAGTGTATGACTACTGCTCAGTTCCTTGTGTGCATGCATGAGCTTTATCAGAGCATGCATGCTCATACGTGCAAATTCACATTTTCCTTTTCAGGAACTTCTGTTCCGTGCAACTTAGATGCAATCAGAATCAGAGAACCCTAGGAGTTGAAAGGGACCTCTGGAGATCATTCAGTCCAACCCCCTTAGGTTCCCTAGAGCCAGTTACAAACGTTGGAGATAAAAACAGAAAAACTAGTCCAAGGCCTGAAAACTCAAATTAATCGAAAAATGCTGTGTGAAGACTTGTTGCAAAGAAGTTACCAAACAAGAACTTACACAGCATCTCGTTTCCTGTTCAGCATAACTTTGCTTGTCATTTTATGTTTTTTTTTTTAAGCTCAATTTGTTTACTTGTTTACTTTATTTTTCCTCACAGGCTGTACTGAAAATGCACAGTGAGAGGCAGACTTCAGTGAAATACTATGTTGGAATTGATGTTGGATCAGCAAGTGTTCGTGCTGCTCTGGTAGATGAGTTTGGGACAGTAGTGATGCACGCAGAGCAACCAATACAGATCTGGGAACCTCAACCAGACCACTATGAACAATCCTCTGCTGACATATGGGCTGCTTGTTGTGCAGTCACCAAGGTACCTGAAGGAAAAGAAATGAAGGAGATGAGTTTCAAGCAGCGCTTCAAAGTTTGGAAGTTGGAAGTCTTTCGGTCACTGGCCTTTAATATTCAGTTCTGCCATGTTTCTCTACCTTGAACCACCTGCATACATTCAAGGCATCTTTAGGATATGTAGCTTCACAGTGCCTGTTATTCATGTGAGGAGCAGAAGGCCAGAGTGATATAATGGAAAAGAGGAGGAAAGCCTTTCCTTTTTATGTTAGATCTAAAGGACTTTTCCACTGCCTTTGGGATTCTCATCAGGGATTTTTGTTCCACTGCTGCATGTTTTAGCCACAAACAGTTTCTCTGAGGAGTTGAGATTGCTAAGAACTGATAATGCATCCCTTTAGAGGTGTGTGTGGTGTTGCACTGCAGACAAAAAGGAGCAATTATAGAAATTCAGTCTGTTTTATGGATGGTGCCTCATATGTCTATCACCTGTGATCCCCATTAAGACATCTGTCTGGTGTTATAAAACTGAAATTTTATGTATTTGTAGATAGTATCAAGCTTAAAAATAGACTGAAATAAACCTAATTATAAGGGATCCAAGGATCCACCTGTACATGCTGGTGGTAAATGACTGACCTTGCTTGGCAGACTACACGCAGACTATTTCATCCTCTGTAATAAAGCCACAGCCTGCTCCACGATCTAAGGTTATTTTTTTAAATATTCATGACATGCTTTGTAATTTGCAGATGGGCAGTTTGCTCTTTCTCTTGCTATTGGTCAGCCTTTTCAAACATCAATGAGCTTGGCTCTGCAGAAATCTTCTGCGATGAAGGAGACAAGTGGTGAGGGGAGGGGAAGGAGAAGAGTAGTGTGACAGGAATGACAGGGAAAGCAGCCTGATATTACAGACAGAGCAAGTTATTTGGCTTTTCTTTGTGAATTGCTTTTTTCTTGATCTTTAAATACAATCTCATATTTAAACGATTAAAATATGGTCTCTGGAACCTTGGGCTTTACAAAGCCAATAAGACACTGGCACTGTTGCAAGTCTGAAGTCTTTCATTATAGTACTAATTAAGATAATGATATTTTTATTGTTGCTCAGAAGTGGCAATTTATTACTGCGTTACATTTTAAATGCCTTGCAACTTTACATAGCTCTTGATCCATGTGGGTGTTATATATTTTTCTCCAGTGCTGCTTGAAGCCATGAAATTCAGATCTTTTGGGGGTGATGAGTTTTTCAGATTATTTTCTGAAAGTAAGCTTTCCAAACTCTTGGTAGCAGAGTTTCTGAAAAGGTTTGCATTACAGTTGTATTAGCACTGCTTTAGGTTTTGACCAACTTGACAGCAATTTATTTTTGGGACCCTTTATTTTGTAACAAAAATGATGGCACTGTATTACCAGAGCAGTTTCATAAGATACTTCACTCATTTGCCACCTGCAAACTGAATGAAGTGATGGAAATGCATAACCCTAATCCTGTCTCCAGGTTTCATATGCAGCAGAACTTTTAAAAAAGAAATAACAGTGCTAGAAAGATTCGAAGCCTGTTAAAGATCTTTTCATATATGTTTGAATACAGTTTTGAAAAACAAATTTTGACTGTTGGCTACATTTTTATTAGCATTCAGATTGAGCTATTAAGGAATACTGGACCTCTTAATTTTTGTAATTTGAGTTTGAATTTCTAACTTGTTTTCTGTGCTCTTTAGTTCACATGGTAAGCCATATACATGGATTTCTTTGTATTTGTGTATGCATTATATATTTGCAGAAAGTCATCTGTGATGTTGATGCCAGCCAGATTCGAGGCATTGGATTTGATGCTACGTGCTCCCTTGTTGTTGTGGATAAACAGTTCCAACCTTTGGCAGTCAACTCACAAGGTAGGACAAAAGGGAGATGAATTGCTTTCTGTTTGGCATCCTAACACCAAACTCCTTCGTAGTGGATCAGAGGGGCTGTCTCTTAGAGGTCTCTGCTCATTTTCAATTTTTAGATGTTTCATCCTCATTCAGACTTTACTAATCATGGCTTTTCTTGTCTGTGTGAATACCTGCCCACACTGGCTAAAGGAATGCTAGAAATGTAGTATTAGTGTAGCCTGACTGCCTCTTCTGTCATAGAGTTGCAAGCAGGAGGTTGAGCTTGCATATTTTTATTACACTGGTGTTCTGTCTTTGCCTAGGACAGTGCTAAGCCTCTGAAACAGTCTGGTGCCTTTTTCTAAAAAGAAAATAAAGTTGTTATTAATTTTTAAGTCGATACTTCAGAAGCCTTCTTTTCCCCTCACACAATCCCATTTATGACTGGGAGGCACCTAATTCAGCAGTTACATAGCCATAATCACAGTTCTGTTGTTTTACCCTTTCTATTCTCATATTTATTTGTCATCTCCTATCCTTATTTAAAAAAAAAAAAAAAAAAAAAAAAAAAAAAAAAAAAGGCAGCTTTGTCCCCAAAATGTCCTTTGCTAAATTTAGGAAAGATAATATTTCAGTTTGAGAGTCTTTGATCTGTTCAGTATCTGATGATGTCTGGGGCTGTTTTGGTCTACTGAGTCAAATTCAGTTCTCACTTTTTGCTGTCCGATATCCTCAAGAACTTGGGCTTTAAACAGTGCTATCAAATATAAGAGAAGAACAGACAGAATGCTGTCACACTGGGCATGCACTAAGCTCATTGCAGGCAGTTTGGGAGGGCTAAATTGTTTGAGTCCAATATTTAGTGTAGCATTGCTCCTCATAGACCTGACTTGTCTTGGAGTATGTTTTCAAGATTGAAATGCATGAGTGGCTCTTCTGTGGAGTTGAGTATGCACTGTACTCAGCAAGAGAGTGATGTGAAGTGTCACTTGAATTATTCCTTCACCTGTTTAGTAGGACTTTTGTTGGTTAATTTAACTCAAATGTTTTTTGCTTTTTGTTCTGATGTGTTACACAGACTTGCTGAATGCTTTTACCTTCCACACCCAAAATAAACATAGTTTGGTCAACTACAGCCATGCAAGTATTTTTGGAAGAATTTAGGATAGTTTTCTCTTAACTATAGAATAGGAAAAAGAATCCCTTATTACTCTTTAATTAATTGACTGGCCAAGTTTATTTCAATTTATAACTTATTTGCTCAGATTTTGTCATATTTGGATGAGTAGGAATTTAAAATGGTTTTTTTTTTTTGGTGTGTTTTAAAATAAATGTGTATCATGTCCAGTAGTTTGGGTTATTTGAATGAAACATACTTTCCAAAAGCATAGCTTGTCACAGTTGTTGGACTCTCACAAGCCTGACTAGTTTGAGTCTCAGGGCATTCTCAGCCCTCAGCATGCCTTAAAAGTTGGCTAGAATTTTATCTCTAGCCACCTACTGTGAATTATTAGCACATTTATGTACTAGAGTTTTCCATGTAGAGGTGTAAGCGTGAAGCAGCTTACTGCCTAGTAACGTAGAATATTGTGTGGAGTTATACAGGACCTAAACCAATCTCTGTTTTATTCTATTGTCTTTTAAAGGGCAAAACAACAGGAATGTTATTATGTGGATGGACCATCGTGCAGTCAGTCAAGTAGACCGCATCAATGCAACGCAACACCGGATTTTGAGCTACGTTGGGGGAGTGATGTCTGTGGAAATGCAGCCTCCTAAGTTGTTGTGGATAAAGGAAGTGAGTGCCTCTAAGATTGCAGTGTTTTTAGTAGTGATTAATATCATTTTATTTGTAAATGCCTGAGAATGATATTTCAGAAGCAAAGTTCTTTGACCTTAGCGCTGAGCTCAGAGATGTGCAAGGTAAGGCCAGCCTTAAGATGCGATGAAGATGTTTTGAGATATTTTTTTTACCTCTTGATTATTTAGAGATTAATTTTAGTGAGATTCAGTTTTTCTCAGATGAAAACTTTTAATATGCTTTTCTTATGTAATTTTAAGACCAGATGTATTTAGTAGTTTCGGTGCAAGTGATGAATGTGTCCTGGAAGTATCCTAGTATTTAGTTATGGAGCTGTACACAGGCTTAAAATATTGTAGCTGAACATGCTTAAAAAGGGCTTAGGTTCCACTTCTGGGTTGGTTTTTGTATCAGTGTGAAAGCAGCAGTGTCTCAGCACTGGGCATCCTTGCTGGATGTATTACTGCCTTTGAGACATTGCATCCAACAGTGAGGGAATGTGTGATGCCTTCGGCTGCTCACAGGGCAATCTAGTTTGAGCTTCATCAGCTTTCCAAGAAGGAGCTGAAGAATTTAGTTGCATGTCATCTCTAGGAAGTAGATCATCTGTAGAAGGGAGATGCTCTGTTCAAAATGCGAAACTCTGCTTCTTTCTTGTGTTTTTAACAACTGTCAGAGAAAAGGAAAAATACTCACCACTTGAACTTTTCAAAACCTCCTCTAGTCTGGCTTTTACGTTCGGTGTTGATGCTTGGCCAAATGTAGATTACTTTCTGCCAGTTTCAGTGCAGTGCCTTGGGTTGGAAGGGACCTCAAAGATCATTGAGCACCAACCCCATGCTGCAGTCAGGGTTGCCACCCGCTGGATGAATCAAAGGAGTTGGCTGCCCACGGCCCCATGCAGCCTGGCCTTGAACACCTCCAGAGATGGAGCATCTGCAACTTCAACCCAACACCTCAACAACCTCTCAGTGAAAAACTTCTTCCTGACACCTACCCTAAATGTCCCCTATCATTACCTGACCTTGAGTTTCTGGAAAGAAATTTCTAAGAATTTTCATCTAAACAATTTTAGGTATTCCTAAAGAATATCACTTATCAAATTTACTGTGAACTTCTGGAAGTAATGAAGAGAAAGGAGAAGGGGGAGGTGACCTAACTGTGCTTTCCACTTCTGTCATCTTTTCTTACTAGAATTTATACTGAAGATGACTTCACCATGATGAGTGAGCTGAATTAATTACACAAGGAGTAGATTCTGGTCTTTATTTCTTGTAATTTTCCTGTTATAAATGACTTGTATTTATTTGTGGAAGGATGTTGCAGTTATTCATCCAAATTGTAAGTTATTCTCCTCAGCTTCTTCTAGATTTTCTTTTTCATGTAGTATTTTATCTGTGTGTTTCTTTTGATCACTTTACATTTTCACTGTGCAGAGATTAGGAAGAACTAGAAAGTAGAGGCTTCAGAGCATATTCTATACATTTAATTATTTCACTCTATCACATTTTTATTTCAAATTAAGAAACCAGACTGTGGAGGACCTAACAAGTTTCTTTGCAATCTTTTGTTTGAATTGTATTAGCTTACATTCAGTTTGAGCACTGATGAATCACTTTATGCCCTGGCATCCAGTGGCTGCTCTGCATGAAATTAATTGGAGGGTCCTGATGTCTGTGACTGAAGATAGGTGCTCATATGGCAAAGTCAGCACTGCCTGTGAAGTTTGCTTGTAGGTCATTTTGCAGTAAATGATCAACTGAATGCAGCTGCTGGATAAAGCTTCTGGGGCTTTCTTGTCAACATTAGTGGCTCACTTAGGAGCAGCACTTTGTTTCTTTGCTCCTTGTGTGCTGAGAGGATCCATTTAAATGTTAGATCTGCAGAATATGTAAACCAAAATGAATATCTTCCTTTTAAATCTACTTTCTACAGGTACAGTCACACTTGAATTTGGAATGTTGTCAGCTGAATTAAGAGTGTGGAATGTTGTAGATAAAGTTGGAAAAAAAGATTATTATCCTTTCACAAATATTTAGAAGCCAGCTGAAAGATAATGCTGACAAAGTCCTCCTGAACGCCATAAGATAAGTAAAAATGTAAACTAAAGTGGAAAAGAAAGTAGTCCTTAGTTACTGAATCTCTCAGAATAAGCAGATAATTCTCTTACCTTGCTATAATTTCCTTAGATATCAATTTTTTTTTTTGAATTATCTTGCAAGAGTTACTGTTGGTTCTGCTCTAGAATTAATATTAGTGTTTTGTTTTTTTTTCCCCAAAGGTAGCAGAAGAGAGAATCTTGTTTACTAATTTTTGGCTGGAGATTTGATTGTGGCTTGTGCCAAAACAGGAGGATGCTTGTTACATTTTTGTCATATTAATGGCATTACAAATCAGCTATTTCTAAAAAGCATTCATCCCATATGCTGTAGCATATTCCAGATGGGTGGAGCGTGCTGAACTGGGAATAGGTATTTGCTTGGTAACTGTCCCCAGATGGAATGCAGTTTTCCTATAGTGTATTTTCACACCTCATATTTAAGTATGGTGAGAAGATCCTCCCTCCAGCAAAAAAAAATAAAATCAGAGTGAATGAGTAGCAGAAATCCCTTGCAATTGATAACTAAAATTGATAATTCTCAGTTTATCTTCTTCATGTTTTTTTATGGCACATTGTCAGTGATCTTTCACTGAACACATCTTCAGTTACAGCCACATTTTTATGCATCATCGTTCTTTTAGTTTGTTTTTGTACACCCATGACTTGCAGCTTTATCAGCCAAAGGGATAATTTGCAGAAACAATTAAAACATGTATTTTCCTGGCTATGGAGGGGCATTAGCTTGGCAGCAACATATTTGTTGTGTATGTCCTCTTCTTTATTGCATTTGCAGCTGATTTTGTTCTGTTGAATGCAACTGGTAAGATTTTACCAATAAAAAGCTCTCAACTCCATGTTTAGTGAACAGAATCCAAGCTACTGGGTTTGAAACTGAACTCTTGACAAGGACTGTTTATAAATGCTTTAACAGCTTTTTGCTATCAAAATCCATGCATAAGTTAGACATGTTTGCATAGATTGTACTTTGGACTGTTCAGTCGGGCTTTTGGTAGCAGTTACTAATCAAGCAAAATAGCCTTAAAAAAAAAAAAGACTAACATCTGGAATGCTTGGAACACCTGCACCTCTGAGAATCTCTCAACTCTGCTACAGTGTGATGATCTTTATGAACATTCCCACAGCTTTTCCTTCATCCCTTTTTACAGCTCCAGTTAACTCAGCCTTTGATAGCTCTGGTCTGTGTTTCTGTTGTGCACGTGGCAGTGCCTGACCTGGACTATGATATTTGCCTGACTTTTGGTGCTACCCCGAGGCTGCCTCATGGATTTGGAAACATCTGCAGGTGTCTAAGACAATGTCTTGTCTGTGGAGACAGTGTGATGCACCAAAGCAGAATTTTCCACCTTTGGCAGTAGACTTATCCTTACAGCTTACTTTCTAAGGTGGACTCTTAGCCCCAAGAACACGTTTAAGGCCTTAAGATGAATCTGGTGATTCATTTGGTGGGTTGAGCTTTTTTTGGGGGGGAGGGAAGGGAGGTGTTGTTTGTTTGTGTTGTTTATTTAGGGTTTTTTTTATCTTTATTTTTTTTGAGTGCAACTTACAGTTGCAAAACTGATCAGTCTGCAGCCCTGGCTCCAGCAATGATTTTAATAGTGCCTACAGTTTATCTTGGATGTCTGAGAAGAGCTCTATCACATGGCTTGGCATTAGTTCTGAAGTGTGGGAGATGGAAGTTCTAAGTTCTTGCTTTGTCTGAGTCGGAATAGGGTGTGGGACATCAGTTTCTTATGTCCTCGTGAGTGTGTGTATTGTCTTCAGTCTGTTCATGCAGATTGCCTAGGAGATTGGGATTCAAAATTCAGGTTGAGTTGGGAAGAGCAGACTATTATTCAGTGAGTGTGTCTCATTTTCAGATGACTTAGATCTTAACCTGATATGGAACTTGAATGCTCATGCCAACTTTTTTTTTTTTTTTACTCTAAATGGTAAAACATCTTTCTGATTCCATCTGTCCCTGCTGGTTTTAATCTAGGTTTCTCACACACCAATTTGGGATGGTTTCAGAATGTGTGGGTTTTGACTGATAAGTAGCCATGAAATACAGGCCAATGCCCTGTGCTAAATCGTAAGCTTTACTTCAAGCCCATCTTAAATTAATCCAGTGTCCAACAGAGTTTGGATATAAAAGCTGTCTGTAAAGACATTTAGTATTTTCCAATGCACATTTAGTCTGTATCAGCAATTATGAAAGTTAGGCAAGTTTTGGTGTTTGTCTACATATTTTAGTTCTGGTGTGGGGGTAAAAGCATTTTCACTACTTTTAGTTGTCTGATGATCACTTAATCTTACAAGAAAATAATATAGCTAGTAAAAGCAGAAGTTTCCAATACAGAAATAAAATACCTCAGCAAAGCACTAAAGTACAAATCTGAAAGCTCCTTTCTTGTTCTCAAGGAGAACACTCCTATGTGTTTCTGAAAAATCCTGTTGTGTAGAAAAGCTCATGTGAAGTTCTACATGTGTGTGCATTTCAGCCCAACTCATAGGTGAGCAGCGTGCATAGCATGAAACAAAATTGTGCAGCATGGCTTCATGATAATCTTTTGACTTGGCAGAAATGGCCTCTACCTATTTCTTGACCTCTGTACCAGTTCTCCCATCTCTCACTTTTATCCTTCTGGTCTAGGAAGACCGAAGATTCTGTGCTTCATAATTCTTAAACTCATTACCCACAGTTACTTTAAAATCTCCAGATAATTCTGAATAACTGTTGAGAAGTGTTGTATTTTGTCACAACGAAGAGATTGTGGAGATACTCAAGACCCAGCTGGATGCCTGCCTATGCAACGTGTTGTAGGGTTACTGCTTTAGCCCGGGGTTGGACTCAGTTTCTGGAGGTCCCTTCCAACCTCTGCAATTCTGTGGTTGTTTTCTTTTTAAATGAAAGAAGCATCCATGGGTGCCCCTCAGTTGAAAGGTTGAATGTGTTTCTTTAGCAGTGAGTTTGATGGCTGAGATGCAGGATATGAATACAGTACTGGGAATGTTCCCGGATCTTTTCCATCGTGCTTTTAATGTGGTCACAGATTTGACTACAAGTAAAAATAAATTAAATTAAGTGAGTATCAAAAACATGGAGACTTTTTTAAACTTGTTTGGAAAAAGCATCAGGATATGCTATGGTTTTTTTGTCTTTCTTTACTAATAAGTGATGACAAAGCATTGAGATGGCAAAGAATGAATCATTTGGATGTTCATGAAACAAAATACTTTAATGTCACTAACGTGTGGCTTTTGGGAATTCCCCAAGTAATAGAATAAGGACCCAGTGAGTATCTCTGATAAAGCAGATTTGCTTGAAGGGCACAGTTGTTCTTAATCTAATATCTTTTATGATTAACACTAATAGTAAATCTACTTCTGTTGCTTCTTAAAAACCAATGCAGAATGGTTTGTATGATCGAAATAGGATGAGTGAGCTTTGTACTAAGCTAAGGAGCACCTTTGCATTTCACATACAAAGTTAAATTGGAAGTAGTAGCCAGCTACATCTAGTGTGTAAGCTACACTCAAGTTTGGAACAAGCATGCAAAGCTTGTACATTTTGTTTAAAAGTTGCAGTTGCATCAGTCTTTTTTTAACACAGTAAGCTGTTAAGACTCTTAGTGTTTAATACTTTTCTAAAAATCCTTTGCATCTGCAATCTTGTATAATCTTTTATAGTTGCCTTTGCCTGAGCTTATGAAGAGTAGATGAAAATGGTAGGATATGAAATGCAAATACACCATATGGCAAACAAATCACCCCTTAGATTTCTTCAATAGAGATGAAGCCCCAAAATAATTTCCCATCTTATTCTGGAGGACCTCCCCAACTCTGTCATAGCCTGCTAGATGCAACCATTGACCAAATGTGTGTTTTTGGCTGAAACTGTGCCACCTAGCAGGTCTCCATGCCCCAGAGACCCCAGCTAGGATGTATGCTTACATGAGCCACTGTTTCAGTTATTTAGAAAACCATTGGAGATTTTTAAAGCAATTTGGGAGGGTGAAGCTTCATAGAAAGCTTACAGATTCTTGCTTGCTTTGATCAACTGGCCTAATAGATTGCAAAGCTTTGTCCTGTGCTCACAGAGGTATTTGTTTTCTTCCTGCACTTAAAATTTAGAAATAATAAATATAAAATGGTTTATTTTAGAAAGTAAGGCATGGCTTTGAGCAAATGTTTTTAAAGTGAGTTGTCTACTGATTTTGTGCCTGTCTGCTCTGACACTGAGCAGGGAACTGAAAGATCCCATGTTATCGATCTGAACCATGTGTCTCCATTAACTTTCTTGGGAAGCCCTTATGATCAATTTGTGGTGGGGAAAGAACTCAGTTCTTCAGACAGTAAATCACTGCAAAGTGAGCAGTGCAGGAATATGGAGAGAGATCAGGATATTGAATTTGGAAAAATTAAAATTTTCCCCACAACTGTTTTAATTTCCATTAAAAGAAGGAGGTGATCATGTCTGCCCTCATATCTGTATGTCTCTAATTTTTTTTTGCTAGAACTTACAAGAGTCGTGCTGGGAGAAGGCAGGCTACTTCTTTGATCTTCCGGATTTCTTATCTTGGAAAGCCACAGGTGTCACTGCAAGGTATGTTAATTGTAACAGGATGATTTAGTCATCTGAGTCTATCTTCTTATGTGTGTTTCTGCTCTAATTCATTTTGACTGGACGTGCTGTTACATACATCTGTCTGTAATTCAGTCTGCTCCAAAACATCTTGAACCTATCTCCTGCTTCCATTGTACATTCCTGAACACAGTTCCTGTGAGCAGTGTAATTCACATATACAGTATGTTGCTACAACTGTTAGTCCATTGGTCTTATATTCTATTTTGGGACATAAATATAGTTGCTCTTGTTACTGTGAAATAAGCTCCTAATAGTGCTTTGAAATCTATTTTTGTTGACAAATTTATTGATTTTCTGAGAACTGAAACAAAATGCTTCTTTTGGGTATGGAAGACATCATATAAAATCTATCTAGAAGTGGTTACTTCATTGTAAAACACTCCCCAGAAGCATCATACAGTGCTTGCTGATAAATTAAACAGTGGTGTTTGAGAGAACTCCATTAAAATCTTGATTCAAGTGACATTAGTACAAGTGAAATACACATGCAGATAAACAAATCCTCCATCTGAGAAGTGAGATACAGTGTCCACTTAAAAAAAAAAAAAAAAGTCTTATGGCCCAATTCCACACCCAGCTCAGCACAGCTCACAGGTACTTCCATTGGAGTCTCTAGAGTTGTATCTGTGCAAAAATTAGTCTAAAACGAAAGCTGTAAGGAGTTAGTTTTAGTGTTGGGGCAATGGAAAATGCATTCATATCAGATAGTTTTCTTTTTGAGCATTCTTTCTCCCTGGCCAGTCTCCCTAATAGGCAGCTATTGTTAAATACATATCTTGCATTATATGAAGATGCTGTTTGACTTTGAATGAAAAAGTGAAGAGAATGGAAGCTAGTAAATTCTTGCACAAAGAACTGAAAGATGGTATTGCAAATATAGTCAGGTTCTACTGTGTTCTGTACAGCTGTCAACTGCATAGCAAAAGAACTCTCACCAAAAAGATCATGCAGTGTAAGCTGACTTGTCACCTGACCTAAATCAAATTTCAGGAGGATAAATCCCAGGCTCGCTGTTCCCTACAGGATCTCTATATTGTACAAATACTCAAGACTTCAGTTTAGAACTGGCACCCTCTGCTCAGGGACTAAGTGGAGAAAGGTAATGGCCTTTTTTTTCCCCAAGCAATTTGAGTGCTTCGTAGTATCATAGAATAGCCTGAGTTGAAAAGGACCGTAATGATCAATATCATATATATCAAGTGCTACTTAAATTTAGGTACAGCTGTGGGGAGAAAACTGGCTTTCTCTCTTAAGGGAGCCTTTTTGAGGCAGTTGAAAAGATATGACCTGGGAAACAGATATGTCTAAATGTCACATGTATGTGGGTGCAGATTCTTTAAATTTGTCCTCTGATAAGTTTAATAGGACACAGGCAACACTTTTATTTGCCCTTATATGTAGGAACATCTCTGTATCACACATGGTGAGATGCTGATAGAAAGTTTGTACTAAGTGCAGAATTCGGCTTTGTGATCCTAGGATGGCTGATAGATGGTGTGAGAAATGCAGGCAAATAATAAAAGGATCACCTTGTGCTGCTGGCTGAAGAAGCTAAAACAGAATATGATCCAAGTGAGGTTGGACTTCGAATATTATTTGGAATGTGCTTTTAAAGAGAGGGAGATAGTTCCAGAGAGAGTGGTGATGTACATGGAACAGAATTCTTATCTTGTTTGAGCAAAGGGATCTCTAGCATTGGTGAAGAGGGTTCCTGCTCTTCCCCTCTGTCCCATAGCATCTTCTGTCCCTCTTGTTTTTAATAGAGGCAGCTGTGCTGTATGAAAGAAATCCCTTTCTCCAACCTGTTTCCTAACTTCCAACATAGTTTAGTCTATGTGAGGTGATGGAGGGCACCTTCCTGCAGACTTTAAAATATAACTGTTGTTATTACCAATTTAGCAGTTGGAAAAAGATCATACTATTTTGGATAAAGTACTTCACTGTATATCATCCTTTGCTGCCTTAATGTGCACTTCCCCAAATTAAACTGATCATTTCTGCTCTACTGGAATGTCTTAGGTGATAATAAAAGGGAAACAAATAGGAAAATAGGACAAGAATTTTTTTCTTGGAATCAAACCTTAATTTTTTTCCCCCATCCTCTACTTCCCCCTGTGCACACTTCTTTCTGAAGATTTGCCATGTAGTTTGAAGTGAAGTATTTCATCCTGCATATCATCTTTCATAATACTGTGGAAGTGGAATTTTATCACGTGTAAGATTTTTACCACCTTTTCCCTTGAGCACAAAGGAGCCTATTCACAGGGCAAGGCACCGTGTTAAGTCATTGTGAATCACACATTATTTGACCCTGGTAGAAGACAGATTTTATTTTTATTATTTTTTTTTTTTTAAATCTGTTTTGGTGGTGGTAAAATCAAGTAATTCCAGGGACATTTCTGTAAGAAGGATTTTTGCATGTGTTGAAATTCCTACTCTTGCTTCCTTATGTTTTTAAGTGGCTCCTTAAAACATTTTGTGTGTATTTAACATTTAAAAACATTGTGTGGTCTTTTTGGCTTTGGAGAGATTACTCAGTGCACAAAGTTAAGCAGCGTGTGATTGGGCTTTGAAGTATCTGAAAGCAGCTATTGGTTCATGTTTCTGAGTATGAAATCATTTGTCTTTCACCTGCAAACAATTCTGCTGGCTTGAAGTGCCTTTGTTGCCAAGGGAAGTTTTTTTCCAGTGGATATATAATAAGCAAAAAGTTCAGGTAAGAATACCTGAGGGGTGGGGACTTAAACATACTCTGAGACTTTTACCTACTCCCTTTAGAAGTGCTGTCTGTGTATCTCAGTGACCAGCATCTGCCTATGAACTTCAAAGAATGAGTTTCAAATCATTGATTCCCACTGTTCTTAAAAGATTGTTGCCTGTAATATTCCCTATTAAAAGAGTTCAATTCTTAGTATTTCTCATTTGGGTTAATGTACGACCATGCAGCTGTTTGGAATGATCCAGAAGCCGACTCTTCTGCATTAAAAAGCTTTCCTGGCAGATCCCTGGTTAAAAGCTTGAAAACTTTGCAACTTTCCTTCTCGTGACCCAAGGTTACATCAAGGAACATTGGTTTGGCCCCTAGGATAGTCAGGTATTATTGCAGAAGTGCTGCTGTGGGGAGAAAGCTGTTTTTTCAGGCATACTAGCAGTGCTTTCATAGGCTCAGCGCTTTTCCTCATGGTGAGTGTGACTCACTGCTATCTTCCACCCACCATCTACAACCTCTGATCACTTTTTCTTTATATGGTGTTTCTGAAGTTATCTTAAAATCAAAATAAATATCTGACTGACTTAGAGATAACTGTATTATGGACAGAGTATTTTTATCAGACTTGCACTTCTGCAATCCTGTCTCTATTCTGATGTCTCGTGAAGAATTAGATTGCAGACAGGAAGATGGCTAAGCTGTGGAATCAGGTAGAATTCACACATGTTTCTGAAGTCATGTGTACTTAGATCCAGTGTTTCTGCTTCTTAGCCACTTCCAGCTCACTGCCTGGAAATAGAGATGGTCTCTGCTGGATTTACGTGGTGTAACATGATTGGTAATCAAAGAGAGTGAACCTGTGGAGGAGGACTTGGAAATGCAGGGAAGAATGTCAGGCTTGACAGTAACTGAGGTGGAGAGTGTCCAGCATTGTGCTATAAGCCACTGGTTGAGGATGAATAATTCAGTATCTTAAAAGAAAATGCTGGCGAATCATTCATAAAGATTCAAGAAGTGCCAGAATGAGTGAAGAAACAGAGACTTAGGATTCTTTTAAAGTAGCTCCCAAAATTGCGGAAAAAAGTTGGAACAAAGCGAGTTTTTGTGCAAAAAATAATTTTTTGTGTGTGTTCTCACACTGCAAATGTATTAATAGCTGGGGAAAGTAATTTTTTATCTAGTAGAGACGTCATCTCATACATGAGTGGCGACCCAAGTAATTTTCCTGTGGAAATACTTGTCTAGTCAGCCTTAAATTGCTAGCTTTCATGTCAGGGAAAATGATATGACATGTTTTGTTGGGGAGTCTTTTGTAAACTGTCTACATCCAACACAGATCTCAGGATCATGAGTTTGTTCAGAGAAAGTCAGTTTTATAAGAAAGATGTTCTTAGTGTTATGTAAACTGACATAACAGGCTGTAAACTGAAATACAAATGGATATGGTTCTTAAAATTTCTAGGAACCACGTAGCTAACTAGTATTATGCCATGAATGTTTGTGAGAAAGGGGTGTATATTCTTTTAATATTCAGTATGTTTGAATCTGGGAATCCAGGTTTAAGTCTTTTATCTCCCCTCTTTGCTTTGGATAAGTAAATTAAATCTACATTTCTGGAGGTGTTCAGGCTGCTGAATACCTTTTGAGGATTTGATTCTTTTTCATTCTTATGCTTGTTCTTCATCTGTGAAGCTGACACACAGATAGTGATAGTAGGTCAGTGCCCCATCCGTGGAGGTGCCCAAGGCCAGGCAGGATGGGCCCTTGAGCAGCCCGCTGATCTGCTGGGTGGCAACCAGCCCACTACAGGGTTTGGAGCTGGATGGCCTTTAAGGTCTCTTCCAACCTAGGCCATTCTATGATTCTGTGAAGTTACTTTCTTTTGCCTTTGATTAGTATTTCTTTTCCCTCTATGATTAGTAGAGTCCTTACCAAACTTTTTCTTCAGATAGGCTAAAAACTTTGAAAGTGGAAAAGCTTGCAAGAGAAGGGGATGTTTAGAAGTACTGTAGAAGAAACAGACTGCTGTAAGTTGGATGATTATCTGAAGGATGTCTGTGCCTTTTAAAGGATTGAGCAATAAGTGAGAAAGATGTGGTAACTGGAGCAGCACAGACACCAGATTCTGCCCTTCCCTTCCTTCCTAGCTGTGCCATGACTAATGTATACCTTTTGGCTGGGATTCTGGTGTTTGGCTTCTTGTTTATATTTTGTGCCTACTTAGAGATGCCTGGTCTAAAAATTAAAA